GAAAGGGCTCCTGTAGGGGATCTACTGGGGTTTTCAAGGTTAGGGTTCAGTCTCGGGGCCCTTACTAGAAGTAGCGTATACTCCTAAACCCTAAACCCGAAATCCTGAACCCTAAACCCTAAACCCTGCACCCAAAAACCCAAAAACGGTGAACCCCAAAACCCTAAACCCAAAAACCCAAAACCCCAAACCCAAAACCCTAAACCCAAAGACCCTAAACCCAAAACCCTAAGCCCCAAAACCCTAAACCCTCAAACCCAAAACCCTAAGCCCTAAACCCTAAGCCCAAGAACCCTAAACCCTCAAACCCTAAACCCTCAGCCCAAAAACCCTAAGCCCAAGAACCCTAAACCCTCAAGCCTCAAGCCCCTTCCGGCTTCCAGCTTCACGCCAGCTTCCCCAAGGCGCTGGGCACCGACCCTGGAGTACAAGGCTCCACGGTTTAGGGTTTAGGGTTTAGGGTTTAGGGTTTAGGGTTTAGGGTTTAAGGTTTAGGGTTTAGGGTTTAGGGTTTAAGGCCTCTTGGGGCATCCGGGAGACTTGTTGCGTCTCTTTCTTAAGCTGGGGAAGACGATGATTAAACTTGGCGTAGACCCTTAACCGACCTTCATTGTCTAAGCCTAAACCCCCCTAAACCCTAAACCCTAAACTCTAAACCGGCCTAAACCCTAAACCCTANNNNAACCCTAAACTATAAACCCTCAACCCATAAACCCCACTAGAGCCTAAACCCTAAACCCCTGAGCCCACCTTAAAGCCCCAGAGCTCCGCCCCCCGTAGTAGCAGCCCCGCCTGCGCAGGTGCAGCTCTCCGACCCACAGGGGTGCAACCTCGGCCGTGAGCCCAGTTTCAGAAAGCTTCGGGTTTAGGAGTTGGGGGTTTAGGGTTTGGGGTTTAGGGTTTAGGGTTTAGGATTTAGGGTTTCAGAAAGCACAGGGGTTTTGGGAGTTTTAGACAGGGTTTTGGGTTGAATCCTTGAACAGCTAGTCTAGGTGCCTATAATCAAGCAGCGAAAGGTGTTCCGGAAAATTCGGGTTTATCCCTAAACCCTAAACCCTAAACCCGAAACCCAAAGTTATAGGTCCAGGTTCCCAAGGGTGTTATGGGAATGAGGAGCTCTGAGTTTGGAGAGTCGCCGTTGAGGATATGGTATGCCGTTTTGCCGCGAGCTTCTCTGACGGCTTGTCTTGTTGTGGCAGCATTTGCAGGGTGATTGTGCCTTGTGCCCCGCACACCGGTCAACATCTTCTCTTGCGCTTTTGCGTTTCCGCGCTTCAACAGCCTGCCTTTTGAATGTGCAGAGGTGTTGGTGCTGCCTCTACGACGGACTGCTGCAGCCGTCACTCTCAAACAAGTGTGTCTGCCCTTGCTGCCCCTTGCTCTCTGAGCTCTCACACGTGGCCAGCCGAACATGACTCTGAGGGCCTGGGCCTTCGAGCAGTGGGTGGCAAGAAACAGTGTGGGACGATGACCTGAAAGCAATGAAGGAAGAAGATGTGTTTTGGCAGGCAAACCTCACCCCAGCTCAAGTCGTGTGCTTTCGTGTGGAGGCGCCTGCCGCGCCGTCCACTGCACTTCTTGCTATCTGTGCATTTGCTGCCTGCAGCATCGCGCTTTCAGCTGAGAACGAGAAGACTCTCTTGACCATCATGCGGAAAGATCAGCCGAATTTCCTGTCCAGAGCTAATGCAGGAACCTGATTAAGAAACCCTGGCCCTATAACCCCAATAGATTAGGGCTCATATGAAGAACCCTGATAAAGGCCCAGGGTTTCTTAAGCAGGTTCCTACATTATCAGGGATTCCGGCACCAACAAAGATTCCCTCGGAAGGATACTCGTGCATGCGACTCATGGAGGCCGTGTCTACCGGCGCCACCGCTCTTGCAGACTTCTGGGCTTAGGGTTTAGGGTTTAGGGTTTAGGATGGGTGCAGAAGTTCGTTGTGAAGATGCAGTCAAGGTGACAGGCGGACAGGTCGAGGAAGGTGCGTATTATCGGAAGCCCGGCTGGAGTGAAACTGGTTGATGCACGTTTGGCCTTGGAGGAGCCCTCCGAGGATTTCTAAGATTTCATAGAGCACCGTTTCAAGATCAGCCCAGACAGAACCCAGGTTGTCTTTATGACGGTGGAGGGTTGGATTTGGCCCATGTTGCATTCTCGGCCAGCACCTTCTGACGGATGGCATGGATGGCATTCAGAAGTGGATGAAGAGGGCCCTATCTTGCATATCCAGTCGTTGAATCTGGAAGACTTGCTGTATTCAGGCTTCGCAAGTAGTGGCTCAATGCTGGACAAGGTTCCCTGCCCGTTGCGGAAGCCACCTCAATGAACCCCCGCAAGTGACGGGCCGGCAGCATCTGAAAGCTGAAAGCTGAAGGATCTTGCGTCAGGAGGGGCAAAAGGACCCGGACCCCAAAACTCCATGCGTGGCAAAGGGGAACTAGATTTTCGAGTTTCGCAAGTCGTGTATCAGCAGGGGCAGCTGTTAGGCGACTTTTTCTCTCGACAAGAAGGCACAACATCCTAAACACTATTCAGCAGCCGGATAGATTAATTTAGCAAAAAGGAGGGTTAATTTGCTGTATTCATCCCGTGCAAACCTTGCTTGTCAGATAGGGCTTCTGGCATTCCTCCATTCTAGGACAGTTTCAGGTGGGTTATTATAGGAGCCTTATAGAAGGTCTATATACCTTATAGAAGCCTTATAGAAGCCCTACATACCTTAAACTCCCCACTTGTAGTTTCCTTTAATACAATCAACGAAAGTGTGTACTGCTACATGGGTAGTACTCTAAATTAGAATCCTTTTTTGGATCCCCGACATAGTACTGCACCCTTATAAAAAAGACCCTAAACGGCACCCTAATTTGGAGAAATACCTACATAAACCATGATGACAATGATGGACCCTTTATTGAGGCCTGAGTTATTCGAAAAATGTTTCGGGCTGTACTTTTGCAAGGTTTAGTGTCCTTATTAGATTATTAGATGCCGAGACACTGTCATGAATCTTCCCATTGACTACTCTCAGTAGGATTGGTATTACCGGGTCTACGTACTGTTATTGCCATGTTGATTACTGCTTCTTGTCTGCATCTCATGACCAGGGCCGAACCCCTGAGCCCAACAACCTAGAGACCGAAAATCCGGGCCTATAGCATTCGAATAGGTTTTGGGATGGATAAGTACGAAATACGGAACCCAAATAGTGGTAATGATTCAGACAACTACACATTAGTATATGGAACGCTATAACTCCCCCTTCTACTCAGAGCCCGGCAATTCCCAAAGTCGTCGCCAGCCTTCACGAAAGATGGACTCGTTGGATATTGCCCTCATTCAGTAACAGTTGCAAACAAATTCAGAACATTAAGCGCAACCCCATTATAGAACCCCAGACTGCCCTTAAAGGGGACCTTATTGTAGAACCCTATACAACCCTTGAAGGGGGACTCTATGATAGACTGCTGCTGTAAGGGGAGCAGAACCCAAGCCTCAGGCATGTACTTGAAGACAGCCCGGGTGAAGTGCATTGATACCAAGCCCTTCCCGACCGCTCAGTACAAGCCGTCGTCTCTTGGCCGAGTTGAAGACTTTGGCGCTTGGGGTTGCGATTTGCATGAACGGTTCAGCACCAGATGCATCGAAGCTCCAGAAGTAGTTTTCGCACATGAAAAGGAGGACACGCCACCGTGCTGAGCTGCTTGCTTGAGTGCCCGTGGCGCAATCGGCATAAATTCAGTAACGAGCGTTAGTCCAGCTCTCGCTCTTGCTAGGTTTTCATGAGTGCCCGCGGCCTAAAACCAAGGCCCCTAAATCCTAAACTCTACGCCCAAAGACCCCGACCTCAAGATATGGAGCTACCGAGACGTCCACCGTCCGAGGCCCAAACCCGGATCCGTGAAAGGTGTCCTGTCATGTGAAGAGGGTCTTCTGCAGGGCTCTGGGCGAACTTCGACAGGGTCATAGCGAGGTCGGAATGACTGGTTAATAATTATATTGCCTGTTAGAGTCCGCTATGTACCCCAACATAGTGAGTGTTTAAAACAAAAAACCCAACACCTTACTCTAGCTATGAAGCCCCTGACAGTATCTTCTCACGGTGCTTTCGGATACTTGAAGCCTTCCTGCAACTTCATCGCGGTCGCCGGGTACCACTGTTCAAGGCCTCAGGATGTCTACAAAGGGGCCTGAAAGACTAGACCAGGGTAATATAGGGGCCTAAATAAGTACTTACATTATTTTGGGGGTTCCTTATCATAAAAAGAGTATAATGGGCCCGAAACCCTATTCTAATTAATAAGGCCCCAACATAAGGGTTACGGGGCATGTCTTCGATGATAGAGGAGCTAGCAGGGGAGACCAGTACAAGCTTGTTCCGACCTTTTTGTTGGATCATTGGTCCAGGGCTCATTGACATAGGCTTGTGCTACTTGTGCTCTCCACGCAGTTGCTTCGCTTTGGGGTTCTGCGGAGTCTGTGTATTCAGATTTTGGTGACATCCGGCTCCAAGCTCAAGAAATGCCAGCAAGACTTGGCGACGTCCTACAGGTCTGAGGAGTAATAGGTGATACTCGTAATAATTGATAACATGTCAGGCCCCTCTACTAAACCATGAGACCCATATAGAACCCTTTATGACGCCCTTTAAAGAGCCCTGGTATGATTATGAAACCCTATAAATCCGAAACCCTCTCTCCCGCTCCTTCTCCTTAGAATGCACGTGAGTCATCCCTTTGTAGCCCCACTACACTCGATATGCCATAATCTACCCCACAAGCCTGTTCTCTCTATCATGCCCTAAACTTACCTGGAGCCTGAACCCGGAGCCCTGAGGCCTAAATCCGTGAACCCCAGGCACGAAGCGCCTAAACCCTAGAAGCCTAATTTAGGGTTTAGGGTTCAGGGCTTAGGGCCCCAATCCCAATCGCATAGGCAAGCTCCGGCTTCTCCGGGAGTACTACAAGCTCTGCTTCCAAGTACCAGGGACGAAGTGGCGCACCTTCCTGACCCGCGGCCGAATCTTCAGAGATTAGGGGCCAAAGAGATTTAGGGTTGACTCTAAATCCTAAAGCCTAGACCCTAAACCCAATAGGTTTTAGGGTTTTCAGGGTTAAGGGTTTGGGTTTCAAGGGTTTCCGGATGCGCTGCTTTAAACTTTAAATGATCAGGGCGTGGGGGGTTTCAGGGTGCAGTGCTTTAGGACTTTAGGGCTTTGATGGTTGAGGCTTTGGGCCGTTTTTCCTGTGCATCAGGTGAGTATCTGCGTGTAAAGCTTGAAATTCACAAACTGCAACTACAAATTCAGTGCCCACGATGATGGTTTACAGGTACAGAGTCTTGTCCCAGTAGGTGAAGTTGACATTGGTGATCATTCTGAACCCTAAACCCTAAACCCTAAACCCTAAACCCTAAACCCTAAACCCTAAACCCTAAACCCTAAACCCTAAGCAGCAGCCCGATTGCTGGCAGTTCTGGCACATGGGTAATTCTCGGAATCAGGGTCCTCTTGATAAGTGTGCCGCATTGTTTTAAAGCCGGACCATAGGGCGGTTTAGGGTTTAGGGTTTAGGGTTTAGGGTTTAGGGTTTAGGGTTTAGGGTTTAGGGTTTAGGGCATAACTTAGAGAGCTACCAAAATATCAAACACTACATTCCCTAAAGACTTACCTCTTCAAAACATGACATCTCATCCACGCTGCCGAGGACCCTGTTCATAGACCAGTTCAAGCAGCTTGGTGCAACGGAGCTGCAGGTCTTCCGGTAGAGAACTTGGTTGAGAAGTTCCCGTACAGTCAATCAAGTTTGAAGAAGGACTTACCAAACTATCTTTGAAATCCTTATTGCACCTACAGAATCATTTATCCCAAAGCCCTGTTCTAATTATTAAGGCCCCTTATACTACAGAAGGTGAGCCCAATTCCAGCGCGCTTGGACGCTTGTATTCAAGGCTCAGGGTTTCGGTGTCGGAAGCCTACAGCTTACAGTCACTGACAGCCACTGCAGCCAGGGCTTTCTATGGTTCCTTAGACTCGGATTCCCGCTCCGGACATGTCAGGAATGGCTACAACGTCGCCAAGCTGCTTCTGAATGTGTATATCGTTGACGTACTTTTCAACACGGCCGACCCCACCACCCAGGACGGCTGGATGCGCCAGTCAACTGTCGAAGTTCACCACACACACACAGACATATATATATATATATACACCCACATGCGTACACTTACCTTTTTATATATGCATATATATATATACATACATATACATATAACAAATCAATATATACATATATATATATATATATATGTATTTGTATGCATATATATATATAAGAACAAGTTCCTCTTATATAAGCATACATGCGTCTACATTCATGCATTCATTCATTTGCATCAGGACGCCCTCCTGCTACCCGACCGTGCAGGCACGGCCGTTCTCGTGGGCTGCTTCTATGTGCTACTCGACAAGATCAGGGCGCCGTCCGACTCGATGCCAGGGACGTCTCCTTCGACTCGTAGCGTAATGTAGGAAACTGATTTAAAAACCTGGGCCTTTATTAGGGTTCCTAACATGAACCCTAAGATATTGGGGTTGTAGGGCCAGGGTTTCTTAATCAGGTTCCTACATTATCCCTGAATGTCTCTTTACAGTGCGACGGCGATCTTCCCGGCCTTTTTGAGTGTTTGGAATACGTTTTCACTTTAGACTCTAGGCGACTTGTGTTGACGTTTGTGTTTGCGAACGGCATCGCAGAGCTCCCCAAACCTCCCCTAAATCCTAGGCCTGAAACCGTAAACCCCAAATCTCTATCTCGAAAGACGACGGTCCTGAATCCGGAGCCGCCGGAAGTTCTCTATTGCATCCATAGCCACCTTTGGTCAAGATCCAAAAGCCAAAGCCCCAACACCTAAACCCTGTCTTGAACCCAAAAAACCCTAAGCCGTCAATCGGCACCTACCAAAGCTCTCGAAATCATTTAGACCTTTTAGGGTTTGGGGCTTAAGGGTTTACGGTTTGATGGTTTAGGGCTTTAGGGTTTTAGGGTTTAGTGTTTAAGGCTTAAGGGTTACGGTTTCCTTTAGTTTAAGGGTTCCCGGAAGGGATCTACAAGAGCTCCTTGAAGGGGTTCTTATGGCTCTTTTGTGGGATAACCTCAGGGTACTCTAAGGGTTCCGGGTTTAGGGTTTAATTTAGACCACTGATCAAAAAACCCACAGTCTTTGCCGCTACCTCCAGTTGCGAGCCGACGTTCTGGTCGAAGGTGTGGTCAAGGAGTTGCAGGCAGCCGGAAGTAGCCAGCTTTTGTCGGAAAGCTGCACATTCCTTGGGCTGTATTGGTTTCGGAATCTCTCTGCCAGATGAAGGTTTGTAAATCCCATAAGAAGCTTCCAAGCCATAAGCCCAACAACCTGCCAGAGCCCTCTAAAGCTTTCTGGCACGCACTAGCACCCGACAAAACTCCAAAGCCCAACAGATAAAGCCATAGGCCCCATATAGTAGTTCCTTTTCGGGATTACCCTATAGGATTCTAAGTATGAGCCCCAAAAAGGAACTACTATGGGGCCTATGGGTAAAGCCACATTCCAACCATGCAGTTCTCCGGCAGAGGTTGCCGATGGTTGCCATTCACATCGGCGGTATCGTCAAGGCCAGGAAATTCATATAGGGGCCTTAATAATTACCTATGCTATTTTGGGGGGTTCCGCATTGTAGTCATAGTAGATGGGCCCCAAAACCCAGTTCTAATTATTAAGGCCCCATATATGACATGTATATATATATATATGCATATACATAGGCTTTGGGATTTAGGGTGTTGCGAGTTGGGGGCGGGTTGAAGGGGAGCAGGTTTGGAGTTTTCATAGTTACACGGTTCAGGGTCTAGGGGTGGAAGGTTTAACGTGCAGGCCGCGTTGCAGAGAAATGCAGAATTTAGGTCAGCTAACGCGTCGAAGAACAGCCCCATTTCGAAGATGAAGCTTTGAATCATTGGGTGGGAGCTACAGAAGTACTCACCCTGAACAATGTCATCCTGAAGCTACGGCTTAGGACCCGAATGTCCCAAAGCCCCAAGAAACCCTAAACCCCTAGAACCTTAAACCCCGAAACCCTAAACCCAAAACCCCTAAAGCCCTGAGCCCTAAACCTGACACGGCATGGCCATCCTCGCAGAGGTCCAGATGGATTTGCCCGGGCAGCTGCGCTTGTTTCTGCAATGCTGTCTGTTCCGGAAATACTTGAACTACAGTTCCTCGGATTGAAGCTTCGGTTTAGGGTTTAGGGTTTAGGGTGACTTTGTGCCGGAAATACTTGAACTACAGCTCCTCGGCTTGAGGCTTCTTGACTTTGTTCCGGAATACATTGAACTACAGTTCCTCGGCTTTGAGGCTTCTTGATCTTCGTAGTAGAGTAGTTAGGTAACCTGTTTGTTCCGGAAATACTTGAACTCTGTTCCTCGGCTTTGAAGCTTCTTCTTGAGCTCAGTAGTAGACTGCTGTGGTTACATAGTCCCAAAGGTAGCCCTCAGTTCCCCTGAGATGCTGGACAAGTAAGTAGAGTGTGGGAGCCTACACCGGCACTTGCAGTGCAGGCTCATTGCGGGCTCCAAGACAGTCAGATGACAGAATTACGAATCCAAAAGACAAAGCGCCGAAGCCAGCTTCCAGACAGCCCCAGACCATGGCATCTTTGTGATCACATGCCGAGAGTGCTGAACCAGTATGCAAAGCATGCAACATTTCCAACGATTTCTTAGGACACCTTCAACCCTAAACCCTAAACCCTAAACCCTCAAAAACCCAAAATCCTGAGGCGAAGAATCTCGTGCTTCAGTGGTTCCATCTGACATGCAGACGGCGATCACCAACGACGCAGGCCCAAGCCCCGCATCTTAGGGCTGTAGATGCCTGAAGAATTACCTACACCATTCCTTAGCGTTCCTTATTATCATTGTACCCCCGAACCCCATTCTAGCTATTAAGGCCCCTTAACCCTTATAGGAGCGCTTATAGTAAGGAATCCTTTAAAGGAACCCCAAACTCTAATCGCACTATTAAGGCCCCTCCGGGTCCCTTTTCTATCCTTTCAAAGGTCTGCTTGAAGGGGATTGTTTGAGGGTTTAGGGGTTTAAGGTTTTGGGGTTCCGGGGACTTCCACTTTCGCTGTACAGCTAGGTTTATGAAGTCCGAGGAATAATCAGAATATGTTTCAATGTACTTTAACCCTTAAACGCTAAACCCTATAGGGCTTTCCCTCTAGCGAAACCCTCCCTTTCGATCTGCTGGAAGGCAGTTGCGCGGCTGCGTACGCTAAGTTGCTGGATCTTATTGCGGTTTGTCTGGAGCAGCAGGGCTGCAAGACGGGTCACGGGCATAGCGGTTCAAGGTATGTTGTGAGAACATGGTGGATGATTCGTGCCGCATGACGGTTATGATGAGCTTCATAATGATGACGACGAAGATGGTGACTCATGATGCTGATGCTTCTGCTGGCGATACTCTCACAATCACAAATCTCATCAACAACAAGATCAAGATCGTCATCGGGCCGGCCGTCATCTCCATCAAGACTGTCATGAGTCTTCTTCGTCACCTTCTTGATCTGCCTGAAAGCCAAGTAGGAGCCGCGACATGCTCACCAGAAGTGCTACGCATATGCCGAAGCAACACAGTTGAAGACAGCAGGTCAGCAGGGCTCTTGATGAGGGAAGGTCAGATAGGCACGTGATCTTCAGCACAATACAGTATGGGCATCAGTCCCCAATTCCGAGATCTTAATCAGCCCTGTAATGGGAGTATCCGCACATAGGCCAGAGTGCAGTCAGGCTGTTGAGAAGAGCGACTGTATGTGGGTACTTGTCTAAATTAGGGTCCCCATTAGGGTCCTTTTTCTCAGGGTGCCGTCTTTGTTGGGACCTAAAAAGGGACCCTAATTTAGAGAACTACCCAAGTTGTAGGTTCATTGAGGCTCATTGTCTTCACATACTTCACGCTCGACCGGAACCCCGCTGCTATCGTGTACATCGTGGCCATGCCAGCAGCTGCTTGCCTTTGGATATGTTGACCCTAAACCCTAAAACCCTAGACTGAAAAACCCTAAACCCTAGACTGAAAAACCCTAAACCCTAAACCCTAGATCCTAAACCCTAGATCCTTAAAGGGGACCTAAGGGGATCTGCAGTGTGAGGTCAAGGTCTAGCTCGGTGTGCTCTCGACTGTCCGGACTGAAGACATCGTTCACTTCTTGAATGCTTAGTAGCTGAGTTTAGGGTTTAGGGTTTAGTAGTTTAGGGTTTAGGGTTTAGGGTTTAGTAGTTTAGGGTTTAGGGTTTAGTAGTTTAGGGTTTAGGGTTTAGGGTTTAGTAGTCTAGGGTTTAGGGTTTAGGGTTGAGTGGATACACATTACACTTTTCGTGTTAATATTCCCCACTATAAAGCTGAAAGTGTACACTTTGTGAGGCTTATGAACTCAGCAACTAAGAACGTCCTTACAGAATCCCAGCAAATGCCAACTGCAGCCTACTGCACTGCTCGTCATTGCACATCTACTATAGGCGCCTAAATAATAATTACCAATACTGTTCTGGTGGTTCCTGATAAGAAGTATAGTACAATATACCACAAGCAAAGCCCCTTTTGGAATCATACAGGCCCCCATATGATACGGCAGCAGCCGGTCACAGCTGGGATCCTCGGACTCCCACTTCCCTATCCAGACGTGAGCTGCGTCAGTGCGTGGACAACTAAGTGTATGGTGGTGTATGTCGCTTTCGTCAAATCTCTGCGCCTGAGCTGCAAGAGAAATGTTTCGGGTCTGAGGGGGCTCAGTGCTCGATACTATAAGCAATGTTGTTAGTATGACTTTATTGTTACTACTACTACGACGACGACTACTACCATTACGATTACTCTTACTGTTACTATTACCGTTACGATTTCTGTTGCTATTGATCTTACTATTGGTGGTACTGTGAATAGTACTATCATTCTTACTATTCAAGTTGCAGCACTCGGCTTTATGTCGGCGGCGAGACCCGGCGGCAAACAAAGATTCACTGCATCAGCACTTACGCTATGTTGGAGAAGAGATCCAATACTTTCTTTAGGGTTTAGGGTTTTTGGGAGTGCTGCTGCGTGCTTCATACTGGAAGAAGGTTTCGAAACTTCAGCCACGCATCTTAAATCCTAGACCCTAAACCCTGAACCCTAAACCCTAAACCCTGAACCCTAAACGCTGAACCTTAAACCCTAGACTAGACCCTAAACCCCTAAATTCTAAACCCTCGCTTGCGGCGAGCTGCTGCCAGACTAGGAGGCCCCGGTGAGTCACCGGCCCTGAAAGGGTTTAGGGTTCCGGGTCGAGGGTTTAGGCTTCCCTAATTCCCTAATTTAGTAGGGTTTAGGGGTTTAGGGTTTAGGCCTTAGGCTTCCTTAATTTGGTAGGGTTTAGGGTTTAGGGTTTAGGCAGGCTTCCCTAAGTTCGGGGTTTAGGATTTAGGGTTCCGGTTTGCGGGTTAAGGCTTTAGGCGTTGAGTTTGAGGGTCTAATGTAGGGTAGACGATGGTGACTAGTCGTCCCCATCATAGGCTACTGGGTTAATTACATTCTACCTGGAGTCCGAGGGCTTAGGGTTTAGGGTTTAGGGCTTAGGGTTTAGGGTTTAGGGTTTAGTGTTTAGGGTTTAGGTAATGACAGGTAAGTAAATAAGTAAGTAAGTAAATAAGTAAGTATGTTATTGCCACAATCGTTGCTCATAACAACAAGACTTCTCCTCCTTTGAAAAAAGTAGTAAGTCTTGCAGAAGAAGACGGATAGTGCAGAAAGCCCTAAACCCTAAACCCGGAACCCCTAAACCCGGAACCCCCAAACCCAAAACCCTAAACCCGGCACCCGGAAGGAACCCGGAACCCTAAACCCTAAACCATATAAACCCTAAAGCCTAAAGTCCTAAACCCCTAAACCCCTAAGCCCTAAACCCCTAAACCCCAAAGCCCTAAACCCCAAGACCCTGAAGCCCTGAACCCTAAACCCTAAACCCCAAGCCGTTCAGCTGCAGAGGTGCCGGAAGGACGTTGACGCGTTCAAGGATCCTGGGATCAAAGAGAGATTTCCGGGCGCTGAGTTCAGAGCCAGGGGCGAATGCATGAGTGTCTAGAGTTCTATGTATGTATATATATATATATATACATGTATGTATGTATATAGTATATAGTATATAGTATATAGTATATAGTATATAGTATATAGTATATATATATATGTATAATATGTATATATATATATATATATATGCATTATATATTTATTTGTGTTTGTTCATTTGTTTTGTAATTACATGTGTACTTATGCTTTACGTATGTCCGTATTTGTTTTTAAACTCATACACATATTCAGATTCAGATGCATACATAAACACGTGCATACCTGCATGCATACATACATACATACATACATACATACATACATACATGTAATTGCAATACACACATGCCTACTACGTGCATACATGCATACGTACACACAGGTATACATACATATGTATATATATATATATATATCACATATTACGTGGATACATACGTACCTACATAAGTGCATACCGGCATGCGTGCATATGTACATACATACATACATACATACATACATACATACATACATACATGCATACATACACACCTACATACATACATACATACACACGTNNGTGCATACATGCATACGTACACACAGTATTTATGTCTTCTGGCAACATATGACTACGGCTACTACAAGTATTCAGCTTCTTAATGTGTGTGCTTCTCCCTCGTCCCCAGTATGTCCGACGCTCGCGATGGGAGAGGCACAGAACAAACTGGTGCTTCGCATTGTTGCAGAGGTCTGCGAGCGTGGCTGGGCCGAATCTGGAACGGAGTTTGGCATGTTCGGTGGGATCCATTATAGGTGCTTTGAAGCAACATTGTGCTTATGAGTATGAACATAGATTTAGGCTTTGTGCAACTCTATGCATGTTCGATGGATCTGCTGGGTTGCGTGCTTTCGCTCTTGGCTGCGGCCCCTTGGCGTGGACAGCCCTCACCTTGGAACTCCTTTTTAATTGAGTTCAGGGCTTCGGCTTCGGGTCAGAGGTTTAGGTTTTAGGGTCGGAGTCTAGGGCGGGGCAGTGACACTGACTACATGCAGTTGCATTCTTCTGCATCGCCCATCTGGCGAATCAGCTGCACCGTTCACCGTTGCCAGTTGCAATCCGCAAGGCAAGGCAGCCCGAACCAAGCCGAACTCTCGAAGCTCTCGATCGTGCCCCTACCTATGGTCTCTATGGTAGCTCCTTTTTTGGTTAACCCATTCTATGGCCAGGATCCTATACATAAACATGTTTTTAAACAAAAAAAGGAACTACAATGG